ATAAGTTGTGAATCTTAAAGCGTTATAATGTTTTTGCTTCATGAAATTCAAATTTTTGTATTCTAATGTTTGTAAGCGAATTCCACTAAGCAGCGATTATAATTTCAGATCTATTAATTTTATAACGCACCGTTTCGGGATTTCCGTTCTATTTCTCGTAAACTATTTTTATCATTGGAATGAATGAAGACAAGCAATGGATAGTTTCATAGTTTCTCGGCAAGTGGGTAGGAGAAAGCGATAGAAATAAATAATATCAGTCTTCGCTAATTAGCAAATGCAAACGTTTCGTTTCGTTTTTCACTTCAACTTTAGTTAACTAAAAATAAATGGATCGAATTTATTTTCAAAAGTAATAATTTTTCAATATAAAAAAATTTTTTTTGCGCCAAAATATTTAGAAATTTTAATATTTGAAAATAATTAAATTTAATTATGCAATACCATTGTTTTTCTTTTACCACAGGTAATTTAATTTTATCATTAAGTCATATATCCCATGAATTCCTGATTCGATGGATAAATTTTGATAGCATAACTTTTTAAGTTTATTTCTAACTTCATTGTTCAGGAAAAAATAATTTGCGACATTTATAACTGAATGATATTCATTCCACATTAATTCATTTTATTTTTAGAATAATAGTACCGCTTTTTATTTTCTTTTCTGCAAATTCAAGATTTTCTCCGGAAATTTGAGTGTTTCAATTTTTTTCCGGAAATTTGAGTGTTTCAAAATTTTCTTCCGGAAAATTTGAATGTTTTAAAACTTTTTCCAGAAATTTGAGCAATGTGTTTAATTATATGAGAATTTTAATGCATAACAATGCTTTCATCTCTTATACAAAAATTAATATTGGTTTTTCCTCTTATTTTGATAACAAATCTTTGCCATATTCTCACATGCTTTTCCTAAAGTTAAAGATTTATCAGTACTGCTCTATATGTGTCAATTCATTCAACTTATCAATCGTATTAATAAGAATGTTTAAAGCGATAGCAATAAATTTCATCTCATTCATCATTATTTTAGTATTGTGAAGTGTTTAAAGTAGTAGCCATGCCAATAAACTTCATCATTTATCATAATTAATTTTGATAAAACACGACTGATAACGTAGTTAATAAGAATGGAAAAAATAAGCTAAAATTGTTAACTAAAAGAGACGCTAATTGCTATGTTGTGAAATGTTGAAATATGAAAATCTCTTGCAACATTAATTAAATTTCAAGTAAAGAGTTACAAATTAACTCTTATCTTTCTAGACATATTAAGCAATTATTAAACATTTAATTGAAATTATTTATACAAAACTATATTAAATTATTTTGCATAACAGAATTTATGAAATGAAACATTCTTCTCCTTTTTTTATTACCAGCTTTATTCATTTTTCTCACCTTTCCACTATAATTTGGACAAAAGATCTTCTACATGATCTTTGGTTTCAGATACTTCTGATTTGCTGAAGCTGAAAGTTGAAATTTTGAAGTTTAAAAATTTATTTTTATTGCATTAAATTATTTCTTTGATATTCACCCTCGGGAATTCAACTCCGTCAAATTGGAACCAGCGACATCAAGCACTAAATTTCATAAAATTTTAATCCGTGACGACGTTGTTAGAGATCAAAGGTCAATTAGAAAAAAATTTTTTGAATTTGAAATTTTGTGTTTTGTAATTATATATGAAATTTTTTTACTATGAATATGGACTAAGTATTTTGCTCTGTTGTTTTTAGAGAATTTCTAATTAAAAGAATTTGAAAATCTTAACTAAATTTTTAAGATTAAATAAAACGAACAAATTTAAGTGATAATTTCCTTTAATATTATTTAGTCCTCCTTTTTATAAGCCGATCTTCAAGAAGTTCTCGCTAAGGCCTAAAATTAGAAGGCTTCTATGCAATCATAGAAAAATGCAGCAATGAATCAAAAATGGTAACAAAGAGATTGATCAGTTAGAAACAGATGAATTCATCTAATATTGGAATTCTAGAAGAATTCTCTTTACTATTTTCTTTTATCAAAAAGAATCAGCAAGTGTGATTCAGAATTAATCAAATTTCATTGAAAGTATTTAACAATGAAGAAATATATATAAAATATTTCTATTATTTATTTAATATTTTGAATAAATTACACAGAATTGATTATGTTGCCAGCATTTCGTGGAATGAAAATAATTTGTTAAGGTAAAGTGGAAAAAGATTATTACTAAATGCAGATGACAGATGACAGTAATCGACTAATTATGCGCATCGGTCACTTACGCCAAGTTAGCCAATAGCAGAAATAATCCAAACTTTTCAAATGAGCTATTTTGAAGAAAATTAATAAATGGAATTATTTATTACGCAAAAGATAATGCAATCATCATAATCAATTTTTGCTAATAATGAATAAACTAAAAGATTTTGGCTAAGCCTAAATTAAGTCTAAGGAAATATTTTTTAACATTTTTGGAATGGATAACTGTTGAAATAACCGACTGAGAATTTATGATACTTATAAAAAACAATGAAATTAATGCCACTTACGTGACCTCCTGATTGTTCTCTATTTGACATTGAATAGAATAAAATTTCATTCTATTGTTTTACTTTATTTTTTTGAGAATTTGTATAAAAAAATCAAAAATGCAAATTTCTCAAATTTCGATTAACAATTTAAAAAATGTTTAACGCCTTAATTAATTATTATTATTAATGATTTACTTTTTAAAGAATATAAAGAAATTCCACAAGAAATATATGCGAAATGGGAAAGTGGTTTTTGGCAGATCGGTTTGCATGATGAGAAAGCAAATTTGGCATTTCAAAATGAAATGATGAAAATACGACATTGTGGTTATGAACAAAATTTTTTAGGATTTTTTGGAGTTAAAAATGATAAATTTTGGTTAAAAATTTTGCTACATGCTTACAATTGCTCATTTATAAAAATTTTCAAATTAATCAACAATTTGATAAATAGAAGATATGATATAATTAGCTCAGTAAAACTTTTGTAAATCTTATTGTTTCTAATAATATTTAAAATTTCATAAATTTATCGTATTTATGAAATTGCAAAGCAAAAATGTTGGAAGATTCGTCATCACAATTCTCGGACAATAAATTGAAAGGAATGATAACTTATCAGAAATAATATCAAATACTCAAAATTAAAAAATAAAAAATAAGACAAGAAAAAAAGAACTATACATCAGTGACAGTAAGATTCCGTGACAATACTAATTCACCTTTCCGTTCACCTTCCCGCAATTGTTCCTCTGAGTAGTTTAACACGGAAGAAACTGGTAATGTACCATCGATCTTACAAACAAATTGCTTTGATGGCAGCGGTGATGATTTATGCTTTGGAGAATTGAACTGTGTGCTCGCTGAAAACGTGAAATTATAAGTAATAGCAAAGTGAAGATCGACTATTTTTTTCATTACCAGAAGGTATCTCAATTTTGTATTAAAAAAGGGAAGATTTGCGCCAATACTAAGAATGAAATAAAGCTTTTATAAAACTGAGAAATGAACTTGATAATCCTTCCTCATAAATCATAAATCAAAATTCAGGTATGGTAACACTTATTATTAGTCTAATAAAATGAATGCAAAAGGCTTACTTGAGGCAATTGACAGTGAAACAGGTAATCGTTGTCCTAAAGCTTGTTCTTCGATCACAGACGGTCCGGCAGTGTCGAACAATTCTATTGTCCGATCAGTGAATTGCATCGGTGTATCATCTATAGAATTAACATATTTATCGAATGAATAAAATATATAGGTTAAACTACCAGAGAAAGAGTCCTAGTTGAAGAAAATTGTAGTAAATTTAGGAATAGTAATAATTAAAAAGCATGGAGATTATCTCTGATAATAATTAAAAATTGAATTTATCATTGTTATGAAAAGTTATTATCATTTAGTTTACAATGGCAGATGTCGGATAAACATACCGGAAAATATATTTGGTAATTGTTGACTAGCGATCATGGATGAAACGGAGAGTGTACTCACTGATACACTGTTCATTAGTACCGCTTTGCATTGGCATTTTGGACAATTTGGATCTGTACATTCCGCTAAATATGTTTGTAAACATCTGAAACGAATTCTTTATGATCAATAATAAATAAATAAATAAATAAATAAATAAATAAATAATAAACACGTATTGTATGTTTATAAGATATTCATCAATTCCATGATATAATAGGTCATTTTTCCAAATAATTTCCCATTTATTTCGAAAATTAATTGTTTTATAAATTTGAAAGTTTCTTTTTGAAAGTTGTTCAAATTTTAAAATTTACAATTTCTTTTTTTAATTTCAGATTTAATTTAAAGTGAAAATGTTCGAAATATATTAGATAAAATAAACCTTTCATGAAAAATATGTGAACATCGAAGTGCTTGCAATGAATCATCATGTAGTCCATAACGTTGTCCACAAAAATTACAAAATAATTCCATTTCCTGTACCAATGAGGTTATCACCCTTCTGGTTGACTCTTCACTGTCCTCATCATTCAGCTGATTGTAATGATCTTGCAGCCTCTGATGACATTTCATCATTGCATACTAAAAATGCTTAACTTAAAAAAATAAATAAATCATTATCGATTATAAACCAAATTTAAATAACCTCCTCTTTCAAAATTTCATCAAAATTGATTTTATTAGTAAAAATATTGAATGAAAACTTTTAGAAGGACAAATACTCACTCGACATCCGATCGCTTTAGCTACTTCTAAGCATTTTTTATCAAGTTGAATGGCCTATAAATATTAATCAAGATATAAATTTACGCAATCATTATATAATATCAAAATATTAGAACAATTGATATTGACTTTGAATAAAAGTTGAAGAAAGGAAAAATTGGCACAACTATTTATAAATGCATAAAAATTCACCTTTTCAATTTCTTTCTAAAATTTTTAAAAGTATCAAAAATTTCTATTTAAAATTTAAATAACAAAAAACGCATAAAATGTATCACAAAATCACTGACCACTTTTATTATTATTGATAAGAGAAAATGACCTGACCTGACATTCGCATCTACCGGTATAAAGAGTACGACATTCCGAAGCTGATTTAGCCATACTACCAAGTACTAATACTTCACCCATACGATCATTTGTTTGACGCATTATTCGATATGCTGTTTCGTAACGTGACCAACTTTTCTGGAATATCATACACTCCATATATATCATATTAATTACAACCTTAGATTTTTTCAGGATACATTTATTGTTTGCTCAACAACTTACAGTGAGAGTTTCCTTGGCTTCAGATTCACCCAAATCTCGACATATATCGGCCATAGAGCATAAACAACGAGCATAGACGGATCGATTGCCAGTTTCTTGGGCCAATTTCAATGCTTCCTGTAGAAATATCAGTGATCACGATCGATGCTTCGAATTTGCTTGCTCATCGCTGTGTAAAGAGTTGTAGTAACTGAAGTGAGTCCTTTAAATAGAACATAAAAAATGGTTATCAGATATTACTGATATTAAAATGTAATGAAACTTTAGGTATCTTTGATTTTTCTCATAGTTAAAAAAAAGTTTCACATATTAAAATTAATAATTTTATTTTAGATTTAAGATTTAAAAATCAATGAGCAAGAAAACATACATCACACATTGCTCTCGCATTTATCAACGAACCATTTCTTCTTAGGACAACTGATAAGTGATAAAGTACAATGCTACGATATTTTGCATGCATATCATTGATTGTTACACCATCCAATATTGCTAATGCGTTTCGCAAAAATAAAATCGCTTTCGAGAAATCCCTAATATTTGTAATTTAACAGTTATAATTGATAAGATTGCTTTTTAATTAATATTATTTGTTGAATTTACTATTTTGAAATAAGAATTGAAACGAATCATCTTTTGAATTAATTCCATATTTTACAATAACATAAAAACGGCAATCAATTTTATTAATTCTATTTGATTTGCAACATTTTTATGATCAAACTTACTAAAGTTAGTTAATGGAACTTTGAAGCATAAATAATCAAAGTGATAATAAATTAGAAAACCTGAGCAATGTGAAGAGTATACCAAGTCCAATACATACTTGCAATTCCAATAATTTATCAGAACACTGATTTGCGACACACATCGCTTTTTCAAATGCTTCTAAGCTTGCTTGAAATTGACTGAATCCAAGTTGTGATAAAGCCACAACTATAAATGCATAAAATAAATACAAATAAATATGAATTCATTTATTTTAGTCATCTTGATAATTTAACAAAACCACTGATCAATGTTTTATTTTCAGTTCACTCAATATGTTTAGCTCATATAACATTATCTTCTGATAACTCTCGATTAATGTTATTATCAATGGCAATAATGAATCATTCGAAATTTTCTTCAGTAATTTCATAATTTATCATAAATTCCATATGTTCCTTTTTTTCTTTGAAACTATCGTCTTCTATTTTGCTGATTGTTGATAAAATAGCTTCCTCTTGACATTTAACCTATTCCTAACCATTCATCATCTCTGATTAATCAATATGCAAAAAAATATCTTTGTTGTTATAAATTGGGTCAGAAATTTTCAGCTTCTTTTTAGTATTAAAATTTACTGATTTTTTTCACCTTTCCTCCTACCTGGCATGCGAGAATTTTGCATCCCATTGCACTGAAACTATTAGTGACAGATAAAACTTTTAGAGATTTCAACTTCTTAAATTTTTTTTAAAGTTTTTAGACAAAGTAGAAACTAAATGATACCAAGATGCGCTTGACCGGGAGTTCTCGGATCTATGCTTGAATACTGTAGACTAGCACGGGCATAACCAATTGCTCTACCGAAATCGGCCAGCCGTTCATATGCTTTAGCCAGATTCAAAAATGCTTCACTTTTCATGAGCTCATCTTGCTGATTATTTGCCAGTTCCGTTTGTTGCAAAGCGTATTGTAACATTTTTTGATAATTGCCTGTATCACAATACGCTTGCACCATATATCCAAGTGTTATAAAACGATCTTCTGCATTTCTGCAAACAAATAAAATCAGAAATTCCGGAAAATGAACTTAAATTAAATTTGCCATTAATAGTGCTAAGAAATGATTAAAGCAAAAATTTGACTAAGAATGAATTAATCACTAAGTGTTTCTGGATTCTAAATATTTATCAATCATTGAATATTTATGGATTCTGAATCATTTATCAATCAATAATTTTGGACTATTTATTAGCAAATAGAATTTCTTCCAAAAATTCTTCATTTTTTTAATTATCACTAATCTTTTCTGATATTAAATCAAAAATAATTTTGAATAATAATTTTTAAAAAAATACAATTTTTAAATGAAGAATTTTTGGATATATATGTGACACATACGTAATTCGTCGAAGAGCAGCTCGCCAACGAGCAATAGCTTGCTGATAACATCGTTGATGATAAAGTTTAACGCCGGATTGCATATGATGCTTGGCGATACGTTGACCCATCGATATCCAATTTTCTCGATTCTAATATCCATTAGAAACGTTGACGCAATCTCTGAAGTAACAAATAATTTCTCATTCCTTTTGTCTGAAAAAAAGTATTGCATTGCTCAGAAATAAATTTTCATTTTGTTTTTCTACAATGATAAACAATTAATTCAATTACATTCAACTCTTTTAATAATTTCCGATTGAACTGATATTTAGCTTAAATGCTATCTCTTTTTTTTTGTCAGGTTTTCTGGAAGAAATTTAAAAGCTATTCTTCTTGCAATGTTGCTAATTTTAACTCATTTGATTTCCACAAGTACCTGTGATAAAATTTATCCTTTATTCAATTATTAAAGGTTAGAGGTTAATGTAGATCTTTTATCCGATTTATTTCCAGATTGCTTTACAGATAATATTTTTACCTACGAAAATGATTATCTTATTGTTATAATGAAATTACTGCTATTTTTGCTTTTAGTATGTGACAGAAAACAACAATATGATTATTCAATTTAATTATTCAAGTAATAATTAAATTAATAAAGTAATCTTTTATATCTATTAGCTCATTAAATGATAGAAATGAAATATGTCTTATCGGTTTGATACAATATTAGAACAGTTTCTCATGATTGTAGGATAGTTACAACGAAAGAAGATAGTGTGAAAAGTTAAGACCGCTATTCAGGAGAATAAGCCCGGCTTTTTCGGGAGAGCAATTTTGAGGATAAGACAACCGAGAAAATCAAATATCTAGTTTCATAGACATGTAAATATATGTTAAATCATTCACAGCCTTGTGAATATTTTCAAAAACCATTTATACCAATCAGTAAACGAAAAGCAATTACGGAAATTCGGAAAGTAAATTCCGGTTATTCGGATATGTGAAGAAGATCATTGAATACTTTAAGAGAATTACACAATTATAAAATGTGAAATTGAAAAATTAATTCAAATCTTTAAATTTTCAGTGATATCATTTTGTAGTAATTTTAACATTTTTTTGTAATTTGTTTATTGAGCTTTTTAAAAATGAGAAAAAACTTATCTTTGAGAGGAATTTCCAATGAATGATACCAACAAGTAGAGAGAGAGAGAGAGAGAGAGAGAGAGAAGGAAAGAAATGAAAAACTGTCAGATAAGAAAGTTGGAGGATAAGATCAGATGAGAAAAATAATTATTACTGTATGAATTAGATGCCTAAAAATTCAAAGTGCAAAATTATTTTCATTTCAGTTTAGCTTATTCGAAAAATCAAATTTTACGAAATCGTTTTTATCTCACTCTGATAAGTTTAGAATTTTAAAAGTAATTAAATGCATGCTTTATTTAGCTTTAGGAGAAAATATTCATATTAAATTTTTAAATCTCAACTTTTGTTTATTATTAGTTTCATTTCCTTTTATAAAAATTGAATTATTTCAACGAGAAATCAATCAATCAATAACATTACTTTTGTATTATTATTATTATTTATGCTAAAATTTAATTATATAAAATTAAAATAAATTATAAATGCTATTAGTCATTTGATAATTTCGCTGACTCTAACAAATATTTAACATCTAATTTTTATAATAATTTAGCTAAAATAATAAAATAATCATTTAATGTAATATACGATAATTTGAAATCAAAATTAAAAATCGATATTTAATAAGCAAAAGAAAACGAAACTAATTCATTCATTACTATAATAATAAATTAAAGCACTTAAAATGCCACAGTTTTAACTAAATTTTTCAGCAAACTTTTTAATAATTTTGAAATAAACTAAATTCCTTAAATTCTATTACGAATATATATGTCTAAATATATTTTCTTGAAAAAATATTGTTTTAAAAATAAATCAGCATGCATTATTAACATGCATTTCGAAATTGCAAGCATGCAAAATTTTTCAAGCAAGCAGTACCATAATCAAATGTATGCCACTAATTTTATTAGCAAAAATTGCAATCACATTCATTTTTGTAAATTTTGCATTTGTTTAAGTAAATGCAATTTTTATTAGCCATCGAATAGATGCATTCTTAAATTTGAAAAGTTAAACAAAAGAAAATAATAGCAAAATTGATAGATAAATGCTAAATGTTGGAAAGTAAAGAAATTCTTTGGAATGGACAAAGAGTATTTTGAACTTTGGCATATAAACGCAATAATTCAAAGTATTTAAACTAAAAAATTTTTAAAAAGAAAAACGTAATATAGATATCTGCCTTTTTTCCAATGATATTATCACACTTTCACATTCTTATCAGTCTTTTTTCAATGATTGTTGCAAATGATCAACAGATATTTTCGAATGCTTATCGATAAGCAATGATAAAATTAGTATGAAAGTGATAACACTAAATATAAGAATATATTTCTTCTTCATTCTATTTAAAAATTAAAAACAGATAATATTTAAAAAATATGATAAAAAATTTTTTCAAACTTCCTAATTAATATTGAATATTAATTATTTGTATGAATAATAATTAGAAATTTTGAAAAAATTTTTTAACAAATATGACTTAATTATTTATTCAAATTAATTGATATAATAAAAAAACGAAAAAGTCACTTAAGATAAATAATTATTTTTGCATTCAGAAACTTTTAATTACGCATAATTGTTCTATTTATAGAATTTTCTTTTCTATTCGTTCCATTATTACCTGTTAATATCATTATTGATCGGAAAAATTGAAATAGGTAAACTAAAATGGCTCTGACACTTATCATCCAATTAAAAAGGTTATTGTTTACCATTTTCGGGTAGCAACGAAATTATTTGATTTTAATCACAGAAATTGAATAATTATTGATAAATGGATTTTAACATTTATTTAAATTATTCGTTAAAACAAAAAATCAGTCACATTGTGATAAAATTTATAATTCGGAAATCAAAAATTTAAAATGGATGGTAAATTTCATTTCTTTTTCTACCAACTGCTTATTGATTTCAGAATTTAACGAACAAAATTTGGAATGATATAGACGAAATTTCAGTATTTAAACTGATCTAATGGAAATTAGGAATGATAAGGAGGATTCCTAGCATTACTATAAATACAAACGATAAGATTAGTGTGATATCGAACTGTTTCAATTATCATTTAAGTGTAAGCAATTTTTAGGAAGAGAAAGAATTTCCAAGTTTATCCATAGATTTATTTTAATTTATATGAATGAAAATTTGATTAGGTAAAATTTCAAAAGTGAGCCAACGAATGAAATAACAAACCATTCTGATGGAATAATGGTAACTATTATTAGAATAATTGTAAGATATATTGCATGAAATAATATTTAAAATTATCGCTTAAATTCAACATGGATTATTGCGCTAAGCAATTCATCACAATTAAATGCAACAAATCACAATGATTCTTTTGGGAATCTTTTAATTCTAACGAATTCTTTTTCCTCATTTATATCCCATAAAATAATTGAACTGGAAAAAAACATCCCATATAATGATGAAATTACGCTTTGCTGCAAAATTTATATCTTACAATTTACAATTAATCCGTTCGAGCAGATGAATATATTATTTTCTCCAATTCATTATTTATTTATTTTAATTTAATAATTTAATTTATAAATATTTATTCTAATTTATCATTATTACTTTTGAAAGAAGAAAAAAAAAACTCCCAAATACCAAAATTAAATTTCAATATTTATTTATAAGAAAAAAATGGATTACAGATTTTATAAAGAGTCTTTTAATTTTATTAAATTTATCTTTAAATAATCATAATTGAATAAATTAAATTAAAAAACAAATTGAAAAGATAGCTTTTGTTTTCTTACCTAAAAATTAATGCTAATAACTTTCAATAATAACCAATTTGATATAATAGAAATTACAAGATATCATACAAATATTTCAACAAAAAAGAAAAGTTTGCTTTTAGTTTTTCTAACGCTTAGAGAAAAAGTGTAAGTTAAGAAGCATTGAAATAAAATATTTTTAACAAACTGAAAAGTCAAATATATTAAAAGAAAATAATTATTGAAAGCTTTAAAATTTATTCTAAACTTTACGATTCAATTAGCGAATGTTTGAGGAAAATATGAAAAAATTATTGAAAGCTTTAAAATTTATTCTAAATTTTAATTAGCGGATTGTTTGAGGAAAATGCACGTAAGTACGTTTACGTGTATTGTAAATGTTTCATCTAAAAGGGATAAGCAATATATGAAGCGAAAAAGTTTGCTAATGTTACCTGTAAATGCAATGGTAATTAGATAATCAATTAAAAGCTTGTCATTTCATTAACTAGCTTAATAATAGCTATTATTAAAAAGAATTTATCAAGTAAATTTTTGTTGTATATCAACTATTTCTCAATCTTTTTTATTTTCATCATTTATTTATATCATCGTTATGTATTTTTTTTAGTTTTATAATTAATAAAGATTTCGAAAACAAAAATATAATTTAATTAATTTTTAAGATAAAAGATTAGAGGGTAGTAAATATGTTAATTAACTGGGGTATATTATCTAAGACAATTCGTATTTCACAAATCTATTAGCAATTAATAAAAATATTAAGACAGCTTTTTTCTAAAGAAATTAATTAATCCATTAAATTGATTCATCTTTAAAAAGTTCTTAATTTTGCAAAATCTTTAAGCAATTTTTGAGTTAAACAAAATAAAAATGAGCAAAAGTTTAATTCTTGCAGACGAGAATTGATCTGTTAATTGAAATTTATAAATTTACTTATGGAACTGATAAATTTCATCTGAACTTATACCTTTACTACTTTTACATCCTTTATATTACTAGCGCATGCTTACCTTTTGAAATCTTAATTAAAGAATACTCTATTCTTATCTCTTATCACTATTTATTAGTGATAATTGTTTGGAACTTTTTTATCTCCGAGTGAGGAGGAATGATAAGAAATATTAGAAATAAGAATTATTTAACAAAATATTTTCATTTCAAATTTTGCTAAGAAATTAAATTTGTTACAGTATCAATTGTTTTTCTTTTTTGGTTAA